ACTTCAAAAAAAAAAAAAACGTTCGAGCTCAGTAGCCATTTAAAACCAGCCCAAGTCCCCAAAAAAATCCAGTGCAGACCAGTACCGCAAGTCCAGTTTCAGTCCAGTCAGAAACCACACTATAGGCCTTGGATTTGTGTGCATGTGTGTACGTTTGTCCTTTTGTTTGGGGCACCCTGTTTGCACTGAGCGGGGAGAGGAGCCCTGCCTGTTTGTGGTGGAGGAAGTCACACACACACACTTACACACACACACACACACACACACACACACACAAACACACACACACTCAGGTAGTGGTGATCAGAAAACAGGCCGAACAGATCAGGGCTCCCAAAAAAAAAAAACAGTCTCTTCAGTTCAGAGTCTTAGAAAGACAAAACCAATAGTCATCGTAGGAATGCTACTCCATCTCATACACTGAAAAATAATAGTAATAAAATCAGGAAATCAAAAGTTTAGTTGGAGAAAAGAAAAAAAAGAGTTTTTTTAATTCAGTAAAATAAGAGAAAAAAAAACAAACAACAAAAATAAGAAAATGGAGCTAAGGGCTAAAAGCGGGGGGAGGAATAGGATAGATTTACTCGTGTAGAAGCTCTTGGAGACAGTTTGGGGACTTGAAGATCTCGGGGACTTCGCTGTCCAGTTTGCAGATGACCTTGTAGATGGCCTTTTTCCAGGACGGGTCCACGTCTTTTCCCGCCACGATGGCGTTGAAGAACTCTCTCAGTGTGATTTCTGCCACCTCCAGGAAGCGATCGGGGACCTTTGTGAAGATGGAAAAAGAACRGGGTCAGGTTCGAGCGACTCACGCACCATGTCTCAATTCAAGGCCCACGTGGGCCACACCTATGTGGGCCACATAGGGTCAGTAAATAAGTAAAAAGCTTTCATAATTTGGGTTTAGCTCCAGTATCAGCACTTGTAATTGCATTTTATTTAACATCTCATTCCAGCATAATTTAATCAGCTGAGTTGCTAAACATACGTTTAAAAGCAATTCGGTTTGTGATAAATTTTCAAACTCTGCCTTCTTTGTTTTTCTTAGTTTCCTGATGAATGAATCCTGAGATATCGTAGCCCATGTAGGATACTCAAATACAGCCTAGGTTTTGGGGGTTTTGTTGGCCACATGAGTATGTGCCTACTAAGGGTGCATCGACACAGAAAATTCATGATTCAGTTCGGTTCGATACTTTAGTCTCACGGTTCGATATTTTTCGATACAAAAAAGAGAAATGTCCATGCCCTTTTTAAC